TAACGAGTGCTGCGCAAAAGGATAATTAAATAGAAGTCCAACAGGATTTACACTATACAACTCTAAGGTTACTTTACTCCCGAACAACTGACCACTATAACGAGTACTGGATGTTAGAGGGTGAGATATCTTAAACCTAGACAAAGTTTTACTCTTTCTCGACTGACCACGATAACGAGTGCTGGACGAGAAAATAAGTACTATAGTGTCTTACTACCTGTTTTTAAAAGTGTTATTCACCACAACGTCGGTGTGTCCACTCGTAAGATAAAATATTCTAAAAAAGGAGTAAAGAAAAACAGTGACACTTGGTTTTTTTTTTAAAAGGAATTAAATATAATACAATATATCAAAAAACAAAATAATAAAATGAAACTTAAAAATACTGCTCGTTAACTACGACAATAAGCGAAACAAAACAAAAAGCCCCGTTCCCGCCGCAGACGTCGCCTTATGCAGTATAGTAGCAATTTTGATGACTCGGCTTGATTGACTTCTGCTTCGTATGTTATTTTAATATTTTATAATTTCGTTATATATACAACAATACCATACGACGGTGGAGTACACTTCACAATTATTTTTAAAAAAATCGATAATATCAAACAATGTTTGAACATTATGTAAACCTTGGCGCTTAGGTATGTCATAAGTTGAGTAAAACAAGTATAGAATAGTAGATTGACGCTTTTATCCTACAATTTTTGGCGCAAATGATTTGTAATTTTTGTACCTTTGACACTTACGTCATACAGCCCCAATATTCTAGATTGGTGACATGACAACGATGTGGGCTGAATTTGTCAGTATTGCAAACAAATGCTGTAAATCATTTCATAGCAAGTTCAACAGTTGMTTCTATTCCGCACATACAAATATCTTTCAATTCATCGACATACATCGTTGTAACATCATTACATTCATCGCGCTCCACTTAGAATCATAAAAATACGTTTTATTATTATTTAAATTGTATCGTTCATAAGTAAATATTGGTTTTTATTTTAATAAGGCGCTATCCGCAAACGAATATATGACACGAGCCGCATTATGCAATAAATTACAATTTAAAACAATATAAAGAGGTATATATTCTTTAATAAAATAGTCTTATATAGGTATGTCGTCTTTGTTCAGAATCATTGTTCATCAGGTATATCTATAATTATTTATCATTAATTTCATTTTAAAACATCTACTATACCTATAGTGTCCTTCTCAATTACGAAATACACTGATACACATCTATAGTATACCATAATATTGTAATAACTCAAAAATAAAGAAGTGGTAATAAAATATAAAGTAAATAATTGTAAAAATATAATTAAATAAATATAACTATGGCTCCTGCCAATAGTTATATTAAATGGTGTGTATAGATAAGTTATGATATGTAAATATTGTTGTAAATATTGTTAGGGGTAAGTTAACTATAAATAAGGCGCTTGCCAATATTTATATTATAATGGTAATTATTGGGAGTA